CTTTGTCAAAAGGAATTTCGTACAGTCCCAATTTTAAGCATCCCAGTTCTGGGATTTTCCTTTCCCGATTGTTTTCGCGCATCCAAGATGCGCGGATTAAATTACTCGTCGGCGTTTCTTTTAGGTTTTGGTTTTCAAGAAAGGGGGGTCAGAAAAATTCCGCACATCGGGAACTTCATCAACGAAATAAAAAAATGGGGTCAGAAAAAAAGGAATATTGCAATTAGAGCTCATCAAATGAACAACAACCTGTTTTCCTGCCGTAAATACGACAAAGAAAAATGTCAGCGGCTTCGGAAGAAGCTTAATTCGAAGAGAAATAAATCCCGAAGTGAATTTTAAATGCCCAAAAATGAACCTTTTATTGAATTCGAGTGAAGATGAATTTTGTGTGTAATTTGCAGTCGTTGCGTTGCTTTTGGCGAAGACGCGAAAATTTGGCTTAGATTTGCTCTCGCAGTGGGTCATTTTTTTCAGGAGAAAATTGTAAAACCACGAGTTTGATTTGAAATTTTCGTATTGCAGATTATTTTAGTAACCAAATACTGTAACTTATTGAAACCGGGATAAGGAAGAATTTTAAAATTTGGTACGTCATCAGCAAAATTAAGAATTTGGTTCAGAGAAAGAAAGGAAGCGTTATTGGAGTTCATCTAATTACCGTCCAAGAGCTTGTTTTTATCCCCTAAAAAAAAATAAATAAAAATGTCAGCGCCTTGAGAACATTCCTTATATCGCAAGAAGAAAAAAAATTAAACCCGAATTGAATTTCAATTGTCCGAGAAAATGAAACCTTTGAGCGAATTCAAAATGATATCAATTTTTGCGTGTCTGTAATTGATTCGCAGTCGTTGCTGGTGCAAGTGGCCGACGTGACGCAGTTCAGCGTGGAGCCGCAGCAAGTGCCGCGATTGGTTGCCCAGGCTTCGGGGTTCTCGTCGAACCCGTTCCACCGGATGACGCGGAAAATGAGTTTCCGGTCGGGTTCGACGTCCAGCTCGTCCAACGCCATGACGCCGCTGAAGCGATCTCATTCGACGATTGCTGGGCCGCAGTCGTGTGCAAACTCGGCCAGTGCCGGCGCCGTGACTGCCGCCACGGCGCCGAAGCAGCTCGCCGCCGCCGGGAACACGTCCTTCACTTCCACGTCGTCCGCGAAGAAGGTACGGAACCCTGCTTTATTTTTATTTTTTTCCCCTGGTGCTGTGGGGGGTTTTTGTTTATGCATTTATTTATTTATTCTGCGACAATCGTGTTCGTGGCGGGGTATTTTGACCAATTCAGATTTTCAAGCACTCAGTTGATTATTGAAAAAGAAAGCTGCAATAAATGTAAGTTTTTTTGGAGAACATGTAAGAAAAATTCATCGTGTAAATAATTAATTTGCTGATTTTGCGCATTTTCTGCACATTTCACGTTATGAAATTGTCTGGGCCGGAGATAATTTTTGAGGGAATTGCGGCTTGAGCAGAAGAGGATCTTCGCTACTTTTCCATCCTCAGGATCTCGTACAGCTGTGGAATTTATTTTGCATAGTTGGCGAATTCAGCATAGAAAAAAAAAAAAAGAATAGCTGGATTCTGCCACGTTCATTTTTTTGTGTGTGGGAAAATGCCGATGAAAATGCGGCCTATGCACAGTATGTTCGGTATTTTTGTGCTGACGAAGTATTTATTTTAATTTTTAAAATTGATGAATTGAAAAAAAAAAAACGAGAAAATAATTCGGACGACGGGGCGCGCTGAATTGGGCCGGGAAAGCTGAATTCTTCGGTAGTCGGAAGATTGGGCCCAAGTATTCTTGGGCCGGATGTGGCAGTCTTTTAATCCCTTTTGTAGTCCCATCCGCGGGTCACCCAGAAATTCTCTGTTGGAACAGCTTAAGCCTTTTGTCTTCATTACCTTCATTAGAATTCTATTCATTATAAAATATAATTCTTCTATTTTAAATATTGCACCTATTTTTCTGTATCTAGTCAAGCAAATTCTGGGAAAATCTGTTCTCATGAAAGGTGAAACCCGGGAATATTTTGCGAAATTCCGGAAAATATCCTGCCTGGTCCGCTGCTGATGAATTGTTTAAAAGGCGCGCGGATCTAGGACAGCTCTTGTACACATCCCTTGAACTTCTATGTGGAATGCACCGAATAGCTTCTTGACATTGACATAATCACATCTAAAATTATGAAATCGGATACGCGAAGGGGATTGGATACGAATTAAATAAAAATGATCACGGGAATTGATTTTGAAATACAGTACTCTTGTTTCTGTTCGACGATATATCTGCAGAACTTTTGCTCTTTTCCACTCTGTAATGAGTCTTCATGTAAAGAAAAACAGTGTATGTAAAATAATTTTTTCTGCCTTCTCAGTGTTTTCTCTTTTTACATGTACAGTACTGTATTTGCCATTTACACCTACTGTATATATCGTACAACTGCCAAAATGGTAAAATTCGACATACAGTAATTCAAAAAATTAAATTTTCTATAACATTTTTGAAGACACTGTTGGTTATGATTTTCTCTGAGCTGGGCTAGGGAAGGATTTTTTTGTCGACTTCGTTCTTGTTTTCCTTCCGGATTTACGTTACTTTGAAAATGCAACCAAATTTTGTTACAACATACTGTACTCCCAGGGACCTGTGATATTTTTTAATAATGAGATTAGTGGTTCTTGATGCATTTAGGACTACAATTTTTGAGAAAGAGGTAATGAAAGCTTCGAAGCTTTTCCACAACAAATTTGAGGAGAATTTCAATCATTTCTTTGATGAAAACAAGAAAAAATTCAAATCTACATTGCAGATATTTTTATTTTTCAAGCCTACGCTGCTGCAACGTTTGTAATAAAATGTCTTGATCTTGCTGAAATACAGGTATAAGCGAACCAAAATGCTTGTGCAAAAAGAAATTACAAAAATTTGCAACTGCGGGTTGCGTGATAGAGCAAAATTATTTCAAACGTACGTTTAGGAAAAAATGAGTCATAATCGAATTCAAAAACAAAAGCCAGAGAAACAAGCTTGCATTCTTTGATGCTGGTACCGAAAAAGTCGTTGATAGTGAAAATGCATCGTAACGAGATTCGTTGTATCGAAGTTGCACTGTGTTGGGTCCTCTAGGGCTAGGGTGAATCACTTGCAGTACTGGACCAAAAAAGGCTATTTATGTCAATTTTTACATTTGCAAATTTCAGGCGGACTCAGAGAAAGAGGAGTTTTTGGCTCCTTTGCCACCGTCAGCAGCGTCGCTGTCCTTCATCCGAGCCAGTCCTCGCAAGAAGCCATCAAACAGCAGCAGCTCCCTCCGAAAGCAATTCACCAAATTCACGCAGTTTGCTTTCGCCCGCACCACGTCATCGTCGTCGGTGTCCAATTCGTGAAAGCGCTCTTTTTTTTGTGTTTGTTCTTCCTGTCGAGCAGTGTTAGATATGTAACTTTTTGTTTGTTTTTGGTAACGGCGGAAGAGCCAAAATGCTTGCTTGCTTGCCTGCAAGTGCATAGAATTTTTGAAGAAAAGAAAAAGGGGGAAGTTGAGATGTGTGTGAGAGAGAAAGATGAGATGAGAGAGCAGAAAGGAACCGTGCTTCCGTCCCTTTTATTTTACTACGCTTCGGACGAACGAAAAAAAAAAAGGTCTTAGTCGTTCCGAGGATTGTATGACGAATGTTTCATTGCTTTTTCTGTCGCCGAATCTTTATTCGAGGAGCTCCCCGATTGAACGGGGATGCTGTAATTTTGTGGTAGAAGGTTTTTTGGAAGTAGCGACGGTTCGCGTCCAAGATGAGGCCTTTTCGATTCTGATGGAGAATGCTCAGATTTTTTGCGCCCGTTGACCCGCTGCTTTTTTTTCAGAAATGAAGGAGTGAGATCAGCTCTCTTGACTTTTCAAGTTTCTTACTATTTTTTTATTCATCGGTAGACTCTCTAAATGGAAAATATTATCGCATGTTGGCTTTTTCCGATAATCAAAATTAAATTCGAAGCAATCATCGTATATCTTCATTTGAAGATGGCTGATTCAAGGGTAAAAAATTCAAGGTGCAATATTTTTTAAAACAAATTGATTTTTGACCCTGAAACAATTTTTTTTTTCATTTTGCGAGTGCAAGATGACTCGAATAAATGGAATAGTGAAAATTCAAGGTACAGTAATTTGAGACGAAATTAATTTTTCGTCTTGAAGCAAAATTACTGTAGTTTCCTATTTCGCGAGTAAAAAAAAAATTTAAATTTGTAAAAAAAAAAATCAAGATGCAATAATTTCGATCGTGGAGCACATTTATTTTTCTTCGACTATTGCAATTTATCCTCCTGTTGAAGTCTTATAAAGCAACAGGAAAATTTTCGTTCAGCTCTGTAGAACTTTTTGAAAGAGCGAACCGCTTGAAAAAAAAAAAAACCGAACTTATAATTTTCCTGATTCAGAGCAATTTCTTTGCCAACAGTTTCTTCACATGAATTTTGGAGAATTATTTTTGAATGCCTGAATTGAATTCCCACCGGCTCTTTCAAGTCTCATTGATGTCAGAAACTTGCAAATGAGGCAGCAACTTGTGGCCAGACTGGAGTGAGCAAAAGCCAAATTCAGATCCCAGCCGACTTATACCAAGATGTTCAGCCCGTGAGAGGAATACGGGTAAGCCTCGGAACTTGGGGTAACGGTTGGGTACACTCTCACAAGCACGTTTTCCAAGTTTAGCTTCGTCGTTTTATTGTCGATTCTCTGTAATACATGTTGTTTATGAAGGGATACGCACGATTACTTTTTATTTGACTATTTTATAAATTATGCATTGTAAGCGTATGGGATTCATTATCTCGCAAACTATTCAGTCATCATGCATCTTCTTGAGAGTTCCAGAAGAACCATATTCAAACGATCTCAGCATGATTTCATCGACTGCCTGAGCATCACTTGACTTTCAATGTGCTCGGTATTCCTTATTCCATCTCCTCTAATTATTCTACGTTTCCTCCGCCATCCTGAAATTTGAACTAACGTCTGATTCTACGAAACACCTAGAGTTCAGGAAATGCCGGACGCAGCTGAAGTAGATTCGTATGGTCGGAGAGTGGAGCGTCCTCCAAATGCCGTTGGTTTTTTTTTTACATAAACTTTTTGTCAAGTAATTCTGACCTCCAGTTAATTTCAGCTCCTGAAAGCAATTCAATCGGGCGGGGAATACACACTTTTGCTCCTCACTATGTGCGGAGCTCTGCTCGCCGTGTTGTTTTCCGTGATCCTCGCCAACACTACGGACATCGACTCGATGCCACGGAGATTTGAGATGATCTACTTGCTGGGATTCCCCGGGATGTTGTTCTTGAGAACTTTGCAAATGATCGTTATCCCGTTGGTCATGGCCTCCATCGTTCATGCGCTCGGAAACATGGACATCGGTGCCAGTGGGAAGATTGGATTGCGAACTTTCATCTACTTTTTTGTCACTACGTTGATTGCCACGATTGTCGGGATCGTGCTTGCGGTGATAGTGAACCCGGGTAAATCGGGGAAGGCCGCGCGTAGGATTGATCTCCCGACGCAGAGTAATCCGAACTTCTACACACTCCTGGACACGATTCGGTAAGATGGAATTTGGGCTCCTTCACTCGTACTTCTCTGGATTCAGGCATGCAAAGCCCATGGGTGGCGGAGAATTGAGCACTAGATGTCGCTGCTGTTGCTTTGTAATGTTGCGCGCTCGTGTTACGCGTGCATGCGAGTACTGTACTGTAGTACGATTTAGGTTTTAGAAGTTACCGTATCTGTTACCGGATTCTGAGATCAGTACGTATTTGTTTCTTGGAAAAAGTATAGTCGTATGCAGTAAGGGAACCACTTCTTGAAGTTCCGGAAATGCCGTTTACATGTATACTGTTTATGTACGCATTCTTCGCGAGTTTTCCTTCCCGTTCACAGATTAAACTACTGAACGATTAGTTACATTATATCGAAATTTTCTGAACCCAGAATTCTTTGGTAGACCTTTCACACAGTGCTTTCAAAATCTCGTTATAATGAATTTTCGACGAACTATTGATTCTTGAATGATTTCTCCCCGGTTCCATTACAGTCATTGAAATTTCTGAACTCGTTCTACATTTTACGCATTGAAAACTTCGAAAAATGCCTTCATCAGGAGGATAATACCATGCAGATGAAATTTGTTGTAATGAGATAAATGAGATTTCAATTGTACAGCGCTGAAATCTTGCCTCTCCTAACTCATCGTAGAGAAGAAGCACGTACTGTTGCATTGCCATGTGTATTAATCAAATCATTTTTGTCGACAGGAATGTTTTCCCAACTAATCTGTTTGGTGCATTCCTGTACCAAGAAAAAGTTCACGTTCCGGTTGATCTGGACAAACCGCTATCTAGTCAGATTGAGAGTACCATGACAACCAACATCATGGGTATACGCAAATTGCGTCTCAACTTATAAATTTTTGCATTTATATTTATAATTTGCGATTCAGGGTTGTTGTTTGTTTCTATAATGGCTGGGATTTTGTTGGCAAGAATAAGCAGAACACCGGAAGGAATATTAATTTTGGGCATATTGGACGGATTGAACAGGATGCTCATCACTGGCGTTCACTGGATTATTTGGTTAGTAAATTTTGAATGTATGATTTGACAAAGTGTGCTTTTATTTTTCCCAGCTCCGTAAATGATCGATTACTTGTCATCGTCGTTTCTCTCTCGCCCTTGAAGCGACTAAATAATCTAAGCAGTTTTCAAGTTGAAATTGAAGCTTTTCATTCGGGAATGCATGAATTTTGGGCGAAAAGCGTACCGCAAGCGAGATCATTTTTGTAAATTCAACCACTGTTCGGAACAAATTTGGTTCGTTGTGTATGACGCACCAGAACTGTAATGATGTTCCAAAATTAATCATTCTTGTTATTTATTTCCGTCAATAATTCCGACGGAATAACCTTCTCCGTTTTTATAGGCTCACACCGGTTGGGGTATTGTCATTGTTGATGGACACAATCTTGCGAAGCATTCGTTCCTTATCCGACCTCGGGATAAGCATGGGGTGGTACATCCTTGTAGTTGTCTTGGCTTTGTCAATAATTCTTTTCATCGTGTACCAAGCTTTGTATTTTGGGATGACGCGGACGAATCCCTTCAAATTCTTCAGCGGAATGATGCAAGCCTGGATTACTGGGATGGCCACGTCTTCCAGGTCAGTTTTTTCTCGTCTCCTCACTGAGAGTTTACGTTGAAAAGCTCGAATATAGTTCAGCGACTTTGCCGTTGACGATGTATTGTTTGGAGAAAAACAATGGGGTTGACGAAAGAATCAGTAGTTTTGTTGCTTCGCTCGGAGCAACGGTGAACATGAACGGAACTGCGTGTTACGAAGCCGTTGCTGCCATTTATTTGGCGGGCATGTCGCTTGAGCGTTCTCTGAGCGTTGGCGATTACATCATCATAAGGTGAATGCTTTTGTGCAGATTTCAGTGAAAATTCCCTATAATGTGAACACAGTTCGATTTTTGCTTGTTAGTTTGACTGCTACTTTAGCTGGGGTTGGAGCTGCGGCGATTCCGTCTGCGGGTCTCGTCACGATGATCATGGTTCTGGATTCGATTGGAGTGGATTCATCGACCATCGCTTTCATTTTACCTGTCGACTTCATTTTGTGAGTTCATTTTCTATTCATCGTGTGTGAAACCAGTAGTACGAGTAAGTCATTTGGAACCCAATAATATTAACTATGATAAATAAATTCATGAAATCCGATCTTCGTAACGACGATTCGATTGGAATGGATTCATCAACCATCGCTTCCATTTTCCAAGTTTATTTCATTTTCTATTCATGTGAGAAACCACTGCAAATTACTGAAATAAGTCATCGGAACCTTGTAATGTCGACTGTGATGAAAGAATTCTCAGATTCTTTGCATTTTGTAGTGGGATAGTTAGAACGTATTGTTGAGTACCATCAGTACCTGTCAGATGTTGCCGTGTTCAAAGGTATGTCCAGCTGAAATCCGTTCAGCTTCAACGCTTGATTTGAAAAGCGTTCTTCCTTTAAACCAGTGGTACCCAACCTTTTTGGGACCGCGAACCGGCAAATTACATAACATTCTTCACCAACTTGCAAATTTCAAAAAAGAATTCTGCAGACTGGCGAAGTTTCATAAACTTTTTGCATACTCAAAAAAGTTTCGTTTAAAAAGCTTCATGGCAGGTGTTTAAAAAGTGTCTGCATTTTTGCAAAAATTAAGAACCAATGAAGCAGCTATGTATTGTGGAATGTCTCAAAACTTGAGAAAGGTGGCTTAAAGAAAGGTTTCCCAGAATGAAAAATTAAAATCGTTTAATTCAGCTGGTTAAAATTTTTTTGAAGTTTTATCAGGAGAATAGCAAACTTATACTTTTTCATCAGATAATTTCAACTGCTATTGTGTTTCTGAAATTTAAGGATAATAGACTTCACTGCTACTTTTGATGAAATTATTATAATCCTGAAGAAATTTTACCGCGGACCGGCAAAAAACTTTCGCAAACTTGCGCCGGTCTGCGGATCACGGGTTGAGGTGCACTGCCTCAAAAGGATCTAGAACTTTTCTCAAATTTCTTTCGATTGAACACAATTTATCATTTCACCATCGATTCCATGGTGTGTGCTGTGTGTAGGGATCGTTTGCGAACGGGGGTGAACATCATGGGAGACGCTTATGGTGCCGGCATTATCAATCATCACATGAAAGATGACTTGGAAGAACTGGATCGACTCGCAGCCCGTGAAAGAGAAAACCTCTTAAGATCTCAACCTCCAGACGATTACACCAGGGCTTCCAGGCTTTCCGTGACAGCTCCGCGTCCCACGGAAAGTACATAATTCTCGTGGTTTTTTTCTTGAGTTGGAAATTGAAACGCGGTTCAGAATTTGATTTTCTTTGTGATGAGAATCTTGGTTGTAAAGATTTTTTCCTGTTGTTTTCTTGGTCTTGCGTGACAAGTGTGCAATAAGAGGGTTCTTCCATGTTTTTTGAGACGGAAGCGCTTGATGATGTTACTTCGCCACAACAGAGACAGTTGAATTCCAAATTTTTTTATTGACGATTTCGGATGCTTTAGAAATGAAAAAGATTTATAGCTCAGTTTCCATATTGTTTGCATACAATTGTTACCTGAGATCTTTAGGCCAAGGACATGGTTGCTTCCAGCTGACACAATTTTCTGAAGGCAAGTCCACTATGTGAAATTAGATAAAAACTCATCAATATACATGTGGACTTTCTCTACAGCAATCTTGTCTACAACAATGTTCTTTGTGTAATGATTTTTTTCCTGTCTCTCTACGTGTTATAAAGGTTGTCTGCAGAAAAATTCTCTCCTCAACAAATATTTTTCTATTCCCTTGAATTTCATTGTAGAAAGAGCACCCTTGTACTATGGAATACTCTATTTTTTAGGTCCCAGCAGACCAGTAGCCACTATATTATTTGAATCCAGTGAGGGGCCTTGAGTAAGAAATGCCCTAACCTAGTAGTGAATTTCTTACCCAACAAACCCATGCGTAGCCACCATTTTGCTTTAGGCAATAACAAAATTGACTAGGTGAAAATTGTAAAGAAACCGGAACTCCTCTGATGTACAAATCACTTCTATACATGCTTCAAATTGTTCATATGCTTTGAAACGAATTACACAGCAGTAAACCAAAAGGTGCGCACATTTCAATTGCTTATATATTTCCTCAATAAGCACTGCATCATTGCTATGTGACAAACTAAAAATAAAAGCTTTCGTTGATTCAGTTTCATCTCAAATGGAACTGAGAAGCAATTCAATCATCACCAGCAGTTCACTTGGGAAACAATTGCTCAGATTTGCCAAGAAAATTTCAGTATTTATGCGTATATTTAAATCATGATTTGATTGAATCTTCAGTAACAGTAGCATCAGTAGGACGTTTAATAAAGCAATGACGAGGTTTCGATTATCTGAACGCCTTTTGTTGTCCTCCAGCACGCATTGAACCAACACTTTGCATGCAATTATCATAATGCAATTTATGCGCGCTTTCGATATTTTTCAGGGCATAATTTTAAAAACTTAGGATTTTTACATACGCGTGAATAGGAAATACATGATATTGCACGCATCCCTAATTTTCTAGAAAACTGACGAAGTTTTTCAGTTGCGGGCAAAGCTCAAGCGATTGAAAAAACATCCAAGCAGAGATCTTCAACTTCCCATCTGTCAACTTTTTCACTTTTATATGCTCGACGATCCCATCACGCAAAGCCGTTCTTGCCAAATGTTGAAGACGTTTTGAGTTGGAAGCAGCTGCGTAAAGTAAAGTCGCCTGCTCTGGAGACATTCTGTTTGATGCTTCAGCTCGTCTCGCGCATTCGACGTCCATGTTGTTGTGGGAACAGACGCTGATCAAGGAGTGGAAAATGGCGGCTTCAGAGTGGTCGTCCATCTTGAGCTTCCGAACGGAATTCAGAATCCCTCTGTAGTCCCGGTATTGTGAAGTGAGGAAGACCTGGGTGAGATTCAGAGATTTTTGCGGGTGAGTGTACGCGTGGTTTCTCATAAATCTTCCAAGTTGTTTGTGATGGTCATATATGAATACTGTAGTTCATCTTATATGGAGATGATGTAGAGGTATATTTCCGGGTCGTCTCATGAAAATTGCATGCGGTTGTCCCAACTTCATCTCATTAATTATATTTTAATTTGATGAAGGAAGAGGACTATAGCAGGAAGCAACGAAAATTATCCTCATATGCAGTGTGAACATATTATCAAGTGACATATATAGAGACTAATACAGAATTTTGAGAAAATCCTGATGATGCAGATACACGCGTACCCTTCTTATTGATGGTACCATGCAGGTATACAGTGCATCTTTTCTGAAATTAAGAGGTAAAGAAGAGGGTACTTTTTGATACAATCAAACCTCTCTAAGTCAAATTTCAAGGGACCTGCAAGAAAATTTGACTTAAGGAGGTCAGGAATTTAATAGGTTGGAACTGCAATATACTGTACAAAGCCCTTTTTTCTGGAAAACTTGGAAAATTTAAATGGAGATATTCTAAAGCTTAAATGGCTTCTTATAAATGAGCTGAAAGCCTGCTGAACTTGGAGGCAGGGATTTATTTTCACAATTAAGTCTTTTGCTTCCTTTAAAACACATACGTTTCTGTTTTTATTGCTTTTTTACAGGCCAAAGAAAATTTGAATTACAGAAGTTTGAGGGGAAAAGCCTTCAACTTAGGGAGGTTTTTTAGGTATTGTTTCTAAGGGGATTCAGAGGGGATTTAAAAAAAATTGACTTAGGGGGTATTTGATTTAAGAAGGTTTGAGTTATCAAGGTTCACCTGTATAAAGGCAGGTGTAAATTTTTTTTAATTTTGTATGTTTTTGTGCATAATGTACATACAGTACTTGATTCCAACAAAAAATTTTACAAATTAAGACTGTGCAAAATTAATGTTCTTTTTAACTACATCAGTTCAAGTCAGAACTGAATTTCAAGGTTAAATTCTGATGGTATTCATTTTTGAAGTGCATGCTGTGTGCTCTCTCCACAACACTCTTGTCGACAACAATTTTTTCAATATGATAACTTTTTTCTTTGGTCCCATCTTATTGGATTCTCTTCTCAAGTTATACATGTTCTTGATATATAGGAAAAAATTGCTCTATAAGATGAATTTTATTCTGGTCCCTTGAATTCTGCCATAGAGAGCCTATATAAGGGGGGGGGGGAGAATCCTCTTATGTAGTAAATTTTCAGGGAGGATTATTGTAGACAAAATGTTTCTGAGATAGTATACACATACATTAAAAAATATAAAGTACATGAGAATTTAAATTTTGATCTCAAAAGGAAAGACCAAATTCTCTCAACATAGCAGTGAACTTTTTCTGATCCCTTGAATTTTGTTGTAGATAGCCTATATAAAATGGGGAAAGAACCTCCTATTTTTAGGACCAAAGCAAAAGTTTTTTTTACAGATAAAATTTTTGCAGACAAAGAAAATTAAAAATTGCACTACAGCCAGTGTGGACTCACTCTAGAAAAAAGTTCTCTAAGTAAAATGTTTCTATGGTTTATTTCTCTATTCTGTCATAAAGAGATGGAGAGAGTCCACGAAATTCTCTCTACATTTTCTAGCCCTTTTTTCCTTTTTTGATAGATACTCCACCCATTTTGCAATTTCCAGTCTGTATAAAATTGGGGTGTGCATCTCATATGAAATAAATGATACATTCGTATCCAAATGACAGACTGAAAAGTTTGGGTGTCTGTCTTATATATTGAGGGTGTGTGCTGGTACAGTACTCAAGTAATTAGGGTATTTTGCTGAACCGTGGTTCATTATCTGCGATATATAATGGGGGCTCTCACCTTGGCGCCGCATGCCAAGAACTTGGCCACGGTTTGGTGCCTTACGTTCCCTTCAACCGAAGCTGTGCGCATGTATTCTGCAAAAGGTGACCTCATGCGAGCTGCAACAGGTCGGTCCAGGTCACAAATGACGTCTGCATTCGGATCTGCTCCAAATTCCAGCAACATCTCGACGATCAAGTCTCGATTTTGTCCATCCGCACCCAAATAACACGCTACATGCAGTGGCGCACCCAGGACTCCACCAATGGCATTCGGATTTGAGCCTGCATATGGTGGGAATTAGAAAGGTGATTTTGAAACAGATGGAAGCACTGAAAAAGATGCCACTCATATTCAATATACTGTATGAAAATGATGTGAAAATGGCCTGTTTGAAATCAGTTTCCGTCGGCGCTGAAGAGAACCACTGTGTGCTGAAATGACTTCAATTTTGGCACACAGTATGAATTATACCTGCGGTGGCTCAAATGTGACCCAATTATTCCAGGTACTTTATACATGACTTGAACATCCTTGTCAGTGATGCTATCCCAGATCTGACATCCATGTCCTCATTATAAGTTATTCTGACCTTGGAAATATTTTTATGAACTTTTACTTACTTTTTAAAGGCAGAGGTTTTTTACATCTTCATTGTTATGCAATGGTGCTCTTTGATACAATTTCAAATACACCTCTTTTATAAAAACCATACCTCTCTCTAAGTAATAAAACACACAACAAAGGATAAACCTTCTCAAAATTTGAGAGGCCTTTTTGGACAACTATTCTGGAGATTCAGAAGAAGGAAAAAGAATTCAAATTATTGATGCCATTCAAAAGAAAGTGAGGGACTCATTGGGCCTATGTACCCTTGCCTCCAAGTTCAGCATCCTGTCAACAGTGATTTATTTTACCAGTTTGAACCCGGAAGATAACAACCTTTTGTCATATTTTCTGAAAAAAATCATAGTTTCCCTAACTGATAAGTTCACATAAGGCAAAACGGTTTTTAGGTTATATGCCTCTGAATGGTTATATGCCTTAAGAAAGGCACAGCCTGTAATTGATATAGGTGGTATACCTTGCAATTCAACCTCCCACAATTTTACCATCCTGCAATTTGACAGTCAAATATGCTGGGAGGTCAACTCTCAATTTCATCTCTGCAATGCAATTTGACCTCTGTAGAGACATGAAATGTGAAATTATATGTAGAAAACATGCCACTTGACAATGTCTTGCAATTTGACTGCTTTGAAATCTGACCCTAGTCAAGCAATGGATTAGGATTGAATTATACATGCAATGTTTCAAAAATCTTATCCCAAAAATTACTAGTTTCCTTATATAACTCAAGAACTTCCCAAGTGGATTTTTCAGGGGTCCCTCTGAGTTTGACTCTGAATATACAGTGAGACCCCCACATGCAGACGCCTCAACATGGGGACAATTTGACATGGGGACATTTATATGTTAACAAAAAATCATAAAAAAGACCTGACATGAGGACACTGACTCAACCTGGGGACATTGCAGGATCAAATTCCAAAATAAATTTTAGGAAAATCAATTTTAAAAAGGCTTAATTGCAAGAAACAGATGTTTCCAACCCAAGATCTATGCAAGAAAAATTATTTGGTACTTTTCCCATCATTTTCCCCTCCATTCAGCTAATTTAAAAAATGCCTTATAGCACAGAGGGACTTCCTTCTAGCTCTCTTTGTGACTTGGATGTTATTTTTCCAGATGCCAACTTTTCAATTTCCTGTACAGAGGTACACTATTCAATGTTCCAAATGTTCTTATTGGTTTGAAAATATGCTCATTGAATCAAATTCAAGTGGCAAAATTTTTTTTCACAAAATTCTGAAGAATATTTCTTCCATAAAACACCAATTAAAAATTATATAATGTAAGTCTATGGGAAAACAAGATTTGACTTGGGGACAATCCAACATAGGGACACTCTTGATGCACCAATTATGTCCGCATCTGGGGGTCTAACTGTATGTTCAACTGCTGTGCAAACAAGGACACTTCAAGAACATAAACCATTGTCCAGCAGGAGTTGAATCATTTCCACGTCATCCCTGAAAACTGCCAGGTGCAGCGCCGACGGGTCGCTTTTATTATCCTGCCCCGCGTTCACGTCCACCCCAGCCTCAATCAGCAACTTGACAGCACAGAGACTCCCACACAGGACAGCAAAGTGCAGAGCAGTTTTCCTGCCGCATCTTTGCCAGGAAACGGCGTTCATATCCGCCCCGGCCTCGAGCAACAACCGCAAACACTCCAAACTTTTCTCCCTACTGTCGTCGTCGTCGTCGCCGCCGCCCTTTTTTCTGACGCCGGAGCAGCTGCTGATGCTGGCGGCGGTCATCAGCGGGGTTTTCCCGTCCATGTCACGCGGATTGACCCGGATGTTGTGGGATAGGAGTAAGGTGACCAGGCGAGGGTCCCGCGTTTCCACTGCAGCGGATAGCAACGTGGACGAGCCCTTGATGGCGTAGGTGGCAGTGGCTGACGCGATTTCCGCGCCGAACTCCAACAGCTTTTCCACCACCTTGCGGATGATAATAAGTATTATGATGGAATTGCAGAGAAAGGTTTGAAAGGCATTTTTATTTTCACCATCCTGGACATAAACTCATTATAGAAGGGCATTATATACATTTTATCAACTTGATGAGATACAGAAAATAAATGGGCAGAAGAAAACCAAGCACCCAGATTCTGATCTTTTGAGATCAGAATAAGCTCAAGAAGCGAAGAACAAGAACCAGTTTTGATGTACAGAGCAGGCATGATCAAATTAATTTTAAAAAATATGTTTGGAGGTGGGAATCTTGATTGAACCTTGTGAATGCTGAAAAGTGACAAATAAAGTGTTCTGCTCATTCATTCAAAAAGATGCACAAAATTAGCCAATTTTTTATTATGAATTTGAGTAATTTCAAGTTAACCTTTTTTAGTGTTTGTAACTGTAAACAACCTAATTCCTTGAATAAATATGAAATTGTAAAAAAATTAAATTCAATTTTTCCAGAAATGTTAGGAAAATGTGCATAAGTTGAGTTTATTGTCCAGATGTTGGGTCAGATTTTTAAAATTTTTGAGTGTCCCCAAGTTGAATCATCTGTTTGTTTACTGTGTCCATATTTTGGGGTCTCACTTATGTACAGTGAGATCCCAACATGCGGACACCTCGACGTGAGGACAATTTGACATAGGGAAACTTTTTTGCCCATTAAAAAATTACTGTATTAAAATGGCCTAACATGTGGACACTGACTCAATATAGGGATATTTTGTGATGAAATTGCAAATACATTACAGGCCAAATTACAAGGAACAGATATTTCCAATCCTAAAATTGATGTAAGAAAAGTTCTTGTGTATTTCTCTCACCAATTTGCCATCCATTTAGATAATTAAAAAAAATACCTCCAGCGTAGAGGGACTTTCTTCTTTTTTCACTTGAATGTTATTTTTACAGAGAATGCTAACATTTCTATGTACTGTACAGAAGTATCAGTATATTCAATTCCTCAAATGTCCATATTGTGTTGAAATAGATTCATTGAATTAGTTTCAATTAGGTAACAATTTTTATTTTCATGGAATTATGGTGAGTATTTTGTACTTAGAACACCAATTAAAAAATATATAATGTTAGTCTAAGGGAAAATGAGACTCAACTTGGGGACATTTCAACTTAGGGGCACTCTTGACACACCAATTATGTTTGCATCACAGGGTCTCACTGTATATAAAGTATATACACTCTCACTCACTGGCAATGCATTCTCATGTCGCATGGCCAAGAACACCGGATGCGGGGCCATGGGCAACCCGGCATAGAACCCATCAGCACTCTCCCCCACGTCCTCCCAGTTGGCATAATTATCTTCCAAGTTTTGGCACCCATCCGGATCCGCACCGTGTCTCAAGAGCAATTCCACAGCCTGGACGTTGCCGCATTCGGCAGCCAAATGCAAACACGTGTAACCAGCCTCGTCTTTGGCATTCAGCGCATTCCGAACTCTGCCCGATGCTTCGGGGCCTGGCTCTGCTGATGTCAGCAGGCATTCCAGGGTCGGGATGTGCTGGTGCCAGCAGGCGTAGTGCAGGGTTGTGAGACCCTTGGACACGGGTTTGCTGATGTCTGCACCAGCTTTGATGAGTGCGCGCACTGCGAAAAGACTCGGGTTCTCGCGCTTGATCAACCCCAGCAGACACCTTTCCAGGTCTGCTGGTTCTTCATCTACTGGGCTATTTCCGTCCTCTGATTCCATCTTTGTTTGTTGTTGTTGTTGTTCTTTAGAACATTATTTTTGAACCTGAAATTATTTGCAGGTTACTTGAATATTATTGAGTTATTTTCAGAAACGCGGGTGGACGCATCCTGGACAGTTGAGCGCGCCCAAAAAAAAAAATAAAGGCATATAAAACAGCGCCAAACATGTCTTTTTTTTGGGGTCACTATACAAGAAAAAAAACTGAAAGATGTTTCATATTCTTTTCTGAAACTAATATTGCTTTGAGATTGATGCAATGAAGAAACAAATGGGGATGATTCAATTGATGGAGACTTAAAGCTGAAAAAAATTACGCCCCAACATATTTGGAGAATGTCTCAAGATATATGATGCCTGGAAACATTTTGAGAAAAATATTAGTATGTTCCAAATGTTGATATCCCCTAACAAAGTGAGCAATTGAAAGCATATGACAAATCAAACTGAATTATAACTTGACTTCATTCTAATTTATTTCACCTAAGCAGGCAAATGTGCTTCTCTTCATAGGTGCCTTTTTCTACAAAAGGTGTACAGTGTAGCAATAAGTTTGCTTGTTCTCTTTTTTCTGCCAAAAGAGTAGCTAGATCCTGTGTGGTTTTACCTTCTGGACAGTTGCATCTTCTAAGTAAGAAAAAAATATTGAAGGGGAAAAAAGAAGCAAACATATTGCTACAATGTGCAGTATATGTTTTGTAGGAAAAAGCCGCAGTGAAGAGATGCACAATATTTGTATACAGAAATATATGTAGTGCAGTTTTTGGAGTACTTTCCCACATTATTTGTCAACATTGAGAAGTGGTTTAAAATTTTTGCATTGAGATGTATTGGTAAATTGTGATCAAACCTGCAAATTTTATGGTTCTGTATATGGACGCAGTCTGAGGTGCAACTTTAGACCCTCAGTTAAGGGTCCCAGTACTCCCAGTGAATCTTGAAAATTATTTTCTTTCAGAACTTGTCTAAAATCTTCCTGTATTTGACCAGCTTTTTCCAGTACAGCATGCGTTATTACAAATTTATGTTCTATTGAGCATGTAGACTCTTTTGCCCATGCATTCTTTCAAGCATGTGCTCTTTTGAGCATGCGCTCTTTTGAGCATGCGCTCTTTTGAGCATGCGCTCTTTTGAGCATGCGCTCTTTTGAGCATGCGCTCTTTTGAGCATGCGCTCTTTTGAGCATGCGCTCTTTTGAGCATGCACTCTTTTGAGCATGCGCTCTTTTGAGCATGCGCTCTTTTGAGCATGCGCTCTTTTGAGCATGCGCTCTTTTGAGCATGCCCTATTTTTGAATGCGCTCTTTTGAGCATGTGCTCATGCGGAACTTGGTGATCTGATAAAAGTCAGGTGGGACACGCTCAACTGTCCGGTCACACCTGAATAACACCATTCGCGTGAATCCATAGGGAAAATAAAATGTCTCCAGTTCCAGTGAGCACACATGAAGGATCTTGTTCATACACAATGCACCATAAACATATGATCGTAATCCGGGAAATGAAGTTCATTTTCATCGCAAATGAGGTATCATCTCGGAAGGAATGTTCAACAAAATATACTCCATCTTGAAAATCGCGACCAGTTTATGCAGAGTCCGATTTGGTTCTGTTTTTTCGTTGAGAACGACGCAGACAAATCTCGTTTTATTTTATTTTATATTCAGGATGTATAAGTAGGGAAATTTGTCGGTAAAGAAGATATAATCGAAAAATTAAGTACTGTTTTCTTTGTTTCATTTCAAATGGAGAAAAACTCAGCGTGATTGATGATCTGGAAAATAAACTTGGACTTCATTGTTTTTCTTCCTTATAGGCAGTAATGATTATAAATTTCTGAGTCAAACCTCTTATTTTTATGTCATGCACTGTACTTGAATGCAAGACGTAATCATTGTCAAAATAACTTAATGGAAAATATTCAGGCTCATTTAGAATATTGAATGGCGTTTCACCTTTTGACCTTTTTGCAGAATCTTCTGAACAAAATTCAAATTCAATTCAACAGATCCATCCTATGATTTTCATTAATTATGCTTCTGATTTTTCCTGAAAATATTAATGAGATTAATCTAGAGATTGAAGCACAATTCAATTGAAAGTATTTAAAACAGATTCCCCTCATTTTAAAAATTTAGTTTGTTTAATAAAAGAAGACATTAGTTTTGATTCAGAAAATTACTTTTGACTATATTTAGACTCAATATAATAACTAGATTCACAAAATTTAATTTAGGAATAGAATTGAATCCGCAGAGCACAAGGTTTTTGGTGAAAAATTTCTTTAAATTTCAATTTTAAAAATGAGATTGTGTCTTATAGTATCTTTTAATTGATGACATTTTACATTTCACTAATAATGGAACTTAGGTGTAAGAGAGGTTCAACACAGTGATTCTAGAAAATTGTATTCTCAATTTAAAAATGTATTTATTCAAATTGGCCGCATTATTGATCTCTGATGTGGCTGAAAAATACAGTTTTGAGTTTCGTGTGAAAATAAATTCATATTCTTCAAGGTTTCAATTCAAAGTATGCTGGTCGCAAGCAAAACGCACCGATTTCACTTGTTCTCTGCTGGTTCTTGAAGTCGACAATAATACTTTATTATATTTGATATGGCGTATGAAGCATTTCTTCACAAGTTGAAAACATAGAAGAACAAACACTCGACTCTGTCATACACGGGAATGATCACTTTAGCACTTATGAAAAAAAAACAACGAAAAATTGGCCATGAACTGAATTCCAGGGAAGCTTCAAATATGAACCGGGTCGAAGTAAGAAAAAGCCACCTTTTTTTTTTTTTTGCTAAGCGGGGATAATAATGGTCGTGGTTTGCTGTTTTTTTGTTTTCATTTTCCATTTTTGCTGATCACCTAGAAAAAAAAAGGTTCCCAGAGTGATTCTTAATACAATGAATCACAGATAGGACGAAAAAAGAGGCAAGTTGTTCCGCTGTTCCTTCTTTCTTCCCACATCACCTCCTTGAGCATTTTTTTTCCCAGCTTGCCAAACAGTTTCTGCTGGAAGGACGCGACGTACGATTCTTGAAAATATTGCTTGACTTTCTTCTTCTTCCTCACCCAGCCACATTTTTAAAAAGAAATTCAACAGTATTCCAAGTCCCTGAGAAAGAAGAATTGGAAAAGAATGAATAGAAAAGAAGATGAGCAGAAAATTTAAAAAACGGCATGTACTGCGTCTTTTTTTTGTGAATAAGTAAAGGCAATTGAGTACTTTTCAATTTACCGCTCCTTTTTTTTAATCTTTGAAACAAAATTCGTTTCATGTGACTCTGGCACATGAAACGTATTTAAATGTCGGCCACATACTGATCACATTGTCACAGTTTTGGATGACCATTTCGAAGTTTGCAACAGCAAAAAATTACCACAATACAAAAAAAATTAAGAAAAAAGAATGATGGATATACAAATAATATCTTTACATTAATATATGACTTCTTGTGCATTCTTATTTGTGTTCTTGTTCAATTTTGTAGCAAATATTTCATCAATTCCCTATTGATTTTTCAGCCATTGCGTTCCATTTGTATTTTAAAATTGAATCTCTCTCCAAATTGGCAGTTTAAAGGGGTAAAAAAACAAGGGCAGGTGCCTATTTGTGTCCAGAAAATTGTTGGCGGATGGCAGATGGTGGTCTATCCAGGTTCCCTCATCCTTTTAACATTGGGGAGATTTGTTTGGGGTAAAAATATGGCGGGAGGTGAGGGTGGTGGTTTATCAGGAGGCGGTTTAACGGGGTTTGACTGTACTTCAAAGCAAGGATTTATTTGCTTAATGAGTCATTCAGTTCCTGTTTGGAAAGGGCTTTCAGTTATCTTTTTATTCTCCCTCCATTTCATTGGTCCACAAAATAATCGCCAAAAAGTCTCAATACACGTGAGTTCCAAAGGTTTTAGTAGACACACTAACGCATTTGAATCAATGAGACCCCAATTGCCAGGTTCTTTAAAAAATCCAGACAGGGAGAACCAAAAATTTGACATGGGTTCATTTGAGTTAACAAGGTCCAACTGCATTTGAAATCATAATGGGATAATTTTCTCAAACGTTTGACTCTCCAGAAATGTTTATGCAAAGAGTTGTCAGAAAAAGCACTCATAATTTGTTTTAAGAAATCTTGAAAAAAAGAGTCACCCCGTCCACTTTCATCATACATCGGTTTCAAATATCAATAATCTAAATAAATTTGAGTTCTACCCAGGAAGAAGGAAAGTCTTTGAATGAGTGAGAGCCAGATTGAGATGTTATCAAGAAAATCCAGACAAGAAGGAACAGAAAATTTGACATGGATTTATTTTAGTTAACAATAAGGTTCAAATGCATTCAAAAGCATCAATGGAAGAATTTTCTAAAAGGTTTGACTATCCAGGAAGTTTAGCGCCAACATGACTAGTCAGAAAATGCACCAAATTTTTCACCTTGCCAGAAAAAAATTAAAAATTCCTGAAAAATGCTCACCTCATTCACTTTTATCATACATCGGTTTCAATTGTGTGCATTGGTACAGGTGTGCCACACCTTGTTCCAGAACTGTATGGACTGTGATTGGATTTTTGCAAAGCTGGGCCCAAGTCTGCCAGAGGAAAAAGCATCCCTTCCTCCAGCTCCATCATGTCAGATGAAGAATCTGACACGGAGTCTTTGCATTGTTGACCTGGAAACACGAAAAAAATCACTTTTTTTTAGAAAGGTTTCAACGGATTCTCTAAATGTAAATCAAGGAAGCCACCCAGAAAGGTTATTTATACAAGTTTATCTGTTGGAGACTGAAGCAGTTTCTTGCCAGAATTGAAGAAAGAGTCAGAAAACATTTGATCCTCCTCATTTCAATTCAAAAACTTGTTTAGACTTGAGAGAGGAATGTGGAATTTGTTCCCTGAAGAAACTCATGAACTTTCAAGACATGAAAAAAGTATCTAGAATTTTTGTTACAACATTTCATGACTGCATTATTTTGGAGAGCCAAGGAAAGAGAGAAGCAATAATAAATGTAACTTGATACTTTTCAAAAGGAAGTAA